ACTCTTTCCTTCACTTATTCCTTTGTGCCTATACAAGGGCCTAATTGGAGTATTTACAGTTCATCCTGTCACGATATATTATAAATTCTCCTTCAAAATACTATGATCTGTCAAGTAAAAATGGGCACACTTTATGATGTGAAGTACAGGCATTGCCAACACAGCAATAACATTTGCTAGTACTATCTACACAAGCATCGTATGCTGAATCCCTATACGCAAAATCCTGCAGGAATTTTTCATTGAAAAACCTTAATGTTCACTAATGGGAACCATTTTTAATGATGAAAAGACTCAGTCTTACACATTTTAGACCAGATTGCCATCCCATTTCAATGGAAATACACTGATTTACACTGTTTAAAGATATGAATCTTATGTAAAAATGTCAGTCCACTTCATGGATGTATTGAAGTCATTCAAGCTATTCCAGTTGACACCAGGGGTACGTCTACACTACATGCCTCTGTTGGCAGAGGCATGTAGATTTGTTTATTCAGCAAAGGTAAATGAAGCCGCGATTTAAATGATCGCAGCTTCATTTACATTTACATGGCTGCCACGAGGAATAACGGGGCTGCCGACAAAGGGCTTTGATGTCGACAGGGGGAACGTCCAGACTAGCGGCGAATGAGCCGACAAACAGCTGATCAGCTGTTTGTCGGCTCATCGCGGCAGCCATGTAAATGTAAATGAAGTCGCGATCATTTAAATCGCGGCTTCATTTACCTTTGCCTACAACCCTAATCTACATGCCTCTGCCGACAGAGGCATGTAGTGTAGACACAGCCCAGGTGAGTATCAGGCTCATGAAGTCCGTATGTATGTTTTCTCTGGTAATTTAGGGAATAAAATTTGTTTCAGAAATTGAGAATTTTAAAGAATTATTTGTGTCATATTTATAGATAAGAAAATTTACAGAGAACATGATGGTATATTTTGGAACTTTTAGCATCTTATATGAGCCTTTACAATTATTTTACAGCTTTTTGAGATGATAGAATATACTTAACATAACCTTTTTTACAGGCTGATTTATTACTTCTATCTAGTAGTGAACCACATGGACTCTGTTACATTGAAACAGCTGAGCTTGATGGGTAAGTTTTCATCTGTTACAGTAGTAAACAGAATACCATATTTTAAAATATATTATTTATGCGCATATGGCATGTGAACACCAGCTATTATCACAGATATATTGTATTCCTTACATTCTTCTTCTTCTCTACAAAATCCCACCTTTGGGGATATGCAGGTGACATAGCTTGGACAGTGTTGCACTTAATAGCAGTTAAGTTGGATCACTTTTCACTGCCTCCTGCTCCTTCTCTTGCTATTGCTGAATATTCTGAGGCCAAGGCTATAAGTTAGGTGTCATGCTCCAGTTTCTTCTGTTCCATCCCTTTGTGGTAGCAGAGACTGGGTCTTCCCTGGATCCAACCCAGATCCACCTCTTCGTTCAACAGTGCCATTAACTAATTTTAGCTCGTCTTAGTTTTAGGATGAGTTCAGTCCTTTATTTTGTTTATTTGAAATCCTTTCTTTTGTTTTTATTTTGTGAGGCTTCTCTAGGTTTTGCACCCCAGTGCAGTCTCATGGATCCTATGGTGGTTCCTAAAAGAAAGTGGCTAGGATTTTATCCACCTATCATTCCGACCTCTGATGGCCATCAGAGATATCTAGTGTGCTTAGGAAAAGGACACTCTCCTTGGTGTACAGTATATAGTGCCATTAATCTAAGAATCTGTAAAAAGCTTCTAAACCAATTCTACACCGTTCTACTGAAGAAGGCCCTGATGGTTAAACCCTTTGGTATCTGTCATTTCAGTTCTGTGAATAAAGACAGGCCCGCAACAGCCTCCGTTGCCTTGGATACTTAGAATCAGTACACTAAAGATGCCACAGAAAAGGACCTGAAGGATCTCAAGTTCTTTGTCTCTAGTTCCAATAGTAGTGGAACAGTACAGGGTCAGTTTTGATTATTAGAGCCAATCCTGTCAAATAAACTGATTTGTATCTGACTCTCCCAGTTGTTGGGATATGAGTGGCACATGGAATAGCCATGTGAGTAGCTCTCAGCACTTTTCAGTTCCAATATCAGACTCAGATTTGAAACTGAAGCCTAAATCTGGAACTCATGGCAATTTCATAAGGCAACTCATACCCCTACTGGAATGAACATTACCATTTCCAAAGTCTGTTCCAGTGTTAAGCAGCTCCTAGTGCTATTGTGTATTGGGTCTAGCCCAAATAGACTGTCCAAATTAGTAAATAACCTTGTGGAAGATACTTAAATTACAAAACTCCCTGAAAAGAGAACATTTACATTCATTAAAGTCATCCCCTCTGAGACTTCAGGGAAAAGCCATGTCATCAGATTTAATACCATCTGCATCTGTCTACATCACTGGGGTAAAAACAACTATTCTGAGTGGAGGTTCCAGATACTTTTTCCAAAAATTGTTGATGGGACATGAAGTCTCAGGACACAGATTTAGAGCCTGGAAAACAGACATTCGTGGATGACAACATGGAAACTGCTGTAGCATTTTCAATGCCAGATGATGCTATACAGTTTTATGAATTCTACTCTAGAACGAATGTACCTTCAGTCCAAATACAACAGAGGTGGCCAAACTTACTGACTGGCTAAGCCTCATATGACAGTCTTCAGAAGTTCAAGAGCTGGAGTGCACCTGTTGGGGCTCACAGCTTCAGTCTCTTGGGAAGTGTCAGCTGAGGCTTGAGGCTTCAGCCCAGGTCCAGCTAAAGTTCCAAACCCTGCCTCCCCAGTGGAAAGAAGCTATAGGCCATGTGTGTGTGGGCACATGTGTAGGTCATAACCTCCCCATCCCATGTTGCCACTAGGCCCCCTCCCTTCAGAACAGCTGCCGGGGCTGGCAAGTTGGGACCTGCAATTGTGCTGGGCAGGCCAGAGAAGGAGAAGGCCATTTTCCTCCCAACACCATCTCTCGGGTGCTGTCTGCTCCCCACTGTTGCCTCTATCAGAAGCAGCAGGGTGGGGAAGGAGAGGCTGCCTCTCCCTATAGCAGGCCTGAGCTCTCTGTGGACAAAAGCTGCTACGCACCCCACGGAGCAGCCCTTGTCCGTGGCAGGGAGCTCAGACCCTGGGGATGGCTCTGGAGCATCCTCTGTTCATGGTGACCAGCCTTGTCCACCGTGAACAGAAGCTGCTCCCGCACCAGCCCTGACCGCCATGAACTCGGGCTGCTCCAGCACCAACCTCTGTTTGTGGCAGACAGGGCTGTCTGCCGTGAACAAGGCTGCTGGACTCAGCGTGATCCAGCACCCAGTATTCCTGGCTCACGTTCATCTCTGCACCTCTGCACTTTAAATGTAGTAAGATCCCAGGGGCTCTTACTGCGTTTACAATGCAGAGCTGCAACACAGGTGGCTCCCGGAGCTGGCACGAGCGAGGATTGCTCAGTTTTGGCTCGAGCTGGCTCCTGAAGCTACCCGCACTGTTGCTCTGCAGAGCGGTCCCATTGACCAATTGTATAGTTGATACAAATTGTATTGACTGCATGATTAGCCTGATAACTGCATTTTAACATCCTTAGTGGCACTTCAGTCATGGACTCCATGTTCCCCCTTCTTTATTTCACAGTATTGCTGATCGGATTATCCCAAGAGCAGAAATGTGTAGACCACTTGAAGTATAACTCATCTCTTACTAGAGTTTTTTTAGAAGAACTCTCCACAGTTTGCAATCCCAGTCCCTCTTGCCCTTTTCCCCAGATACCTTATTAGAGCCCCAGACCTAAAGAGCGGAGATGACTGGCACAGTATGCCACGTTTTAAAGCCTCTCCATCAAAACATTCAGGAACAGCGAGGGGAGGGTGAGAGAATTCCAATGGCACTGCTATGAAACATAGCACACGAGAGCTACTAGGATGGGAACGTGCAGAGTCTTTAAGTTTGTGAATGGTGTACTTGTCAAATGCTATAACAGTTTTAAATACATTCACGTGGTGACCATCACAAAGCACAGGGCTCATATATTTGGTGCTTTTACAGCACCTGCTGCAATGTGGGTGCTATTGGAAACCAATAACAAATAATAATTAGGAAAGTCACATTTTTCTTTGTGCTTATTGGTGATATATACTGATATACCATGGTGCTAGATGACAGTATGAGAGCCTATATAGTGTAATGGGAATGATAGCTCACATAGAGTAACAGTCTTACACAAGATCAAAAAAATTAATGAAATATAAAACTGAATAACAGATAGAAAAACACATAAAATCATCATAATAGAACCAAAGTTAAAAAACCCTACTCTAAGAAACTTATTTATAACATATCTAACTATTTGAACCTTCAGTACAGGCAGTCCCCGACTTACGTGGATCCGACTTATGTCGGATCCGCACTTACGAACGGGACTTTTCTCGCCCCGGAGCTCGCGGGCGGCGGGACCGCCCAGAGCGCACCGGTCCTGCCACCGCGTCCTCCGGGGCGAGAAAAGCTGCTCCGGGTCTCCCTGGTGTGCTGAGGGGGATTCCCCAGCACAGCAGGGAGACCCAAGCAAAGCCGCACAGGCGGCGGGACCCCCCCCAGCACAGCAGGGAGACAGGAGCAAAGCCGCAGAGGAGTAACGAGGAGTAACGGTAGTTCGAACTAGGAAGCCTAGTTCGAACTAACTAGTTCGTGCCCCGTGTAGCCGCGCTGCACGGGGTTCGCACGAGCGGGGTTTTAAAAATGGCGGCGCCCCCCCTCTTGTAAAGC